TCACACGGCAGCATTCTATCGGAGCCGAACTACTGCTCCTCCCACGGATTAACAGAAGATTATCTCCAATGCGTTCATACGGTCGGGAACCGAACGAGAGCAGAGATCTGCCAGAGTTAGATTCAGTTCGAACAGAGCCAAACGGAACAGTGCAATTGAATAATGAGCATGTGTTGTTTCTTTACATGGCACGATGCTGATTGCCTGGGAGAAAAAAAAGTTGCGAGTCTGATCATGGAGGTAGAAAAGACAATGCCCTAGTGTTATTATTTAGGTACATGTACTAGTACCTCGAATAAACAGGAAACACAGCAGCTAAAATGTGTTACAACCTAGTATTTACTGTCATGCAAAATTACCATTTTGTAATTATTGAACTGTTAGTGATATCTAAACTACTAGTACTATGAAGAATCACAGTCCCTCTATCCTCTCAGTATATCATAGAGGGACTGTGGAAGAATCTAAACCTACTAGATCGCTTCTACGATTTTTCTTTGGTGTCGTTAAAACGTTTCCATTCAGTCGTTCTTTCGAGTTTTTGTTGCTTAATGTCGTATGCCATTTTTCCCCATTTCCCGTTGAGCTATCAATCAATCTCAGTGGCAGTAATTCTTTGCTCTGCCAAGTGTATATTTGGGCACGTATCTCTTCTTCAAGCCGGAAATTACGTGAAATTATGAAAGATGTTGTCTCCGCCACAATTGAAATGAGAGGTTACTCGAAGAAGACGATTGAGGGCGTGATTTCGGCTCCCATAGTTGGGCCCCGATGCGTTTACACGATCGGAGCCATGTCGGAACTCAACCCTGTCGGAGTTCAACCCCGAGGGTTTAGTGGAGCCGAACTTGGCTCGAGCCGGCTCGAGCCGAACGCGTTCACACGGCCATTTTTGCTGACTCGAGCCGTTGGGCTCCGATAAAATGCTGTCGTGTGAACGTAGCAATATGTCGGACACTCATATGTTATATAATTTATCGGACTATCATATACATGTAGTTAAGTCTCGGAAACGTTTCCCCTCGTGATACCGGACGCCACAGTGCTACCAGGATGATACGTCCATATGGAAAAACGAGCCATAAAACCATCGCGTACCGTTGACGTCATGCATGGCGGATACGTGTCGATGTCAGAGAAGGGTATTGTATAACTGCATAGATAATCTCCCAATACATATTCCATAGTGTGATGAGTTCCAAGGACAATAATGACGCACGGAACGGACGCATACCGAGCACCGGATGGTAACACCTATACAATGAGTCAGTGGTTATAAGCTGCAGTTGAAAGGAATTACTAGTATTGCAAGTCGTGTACAGACATAGAAATACCTACGCATCAATTGTACGACCTGCCATACTTCGATGTGTGTATCTTTTATTCCAGGGAGTGATCGGAGAATGCTGGGTACATTTCTGATAATATTTGATACGCAAATATCCGAAAGTTCGTTATAAAAAAGTTCGTTATAGCGAGGTTACAGTGTATTAATTAACAAGTCGCTGCAAAAGTGAGACTTATACTCATATTGTACATGCGGCTCGTTTACTTTTACTACTCCACAAATCGCATGACATGCCGAATGGCTAATTCACCACTATTCATAATAACTGACACGAAACAAAGCTTTCAATTCAATCATTACTTTTTATTCATCTAAGCTTGATTTTTTGCTACAAATCAGCGACTAACGATGATTTCATTATCAGGGAAAATTGAAATGCACGGTGTAATTATATATTTGCCATTTATAATGACCTCACCGGTATTTGTTATTGTACGATGGGTGGTACATAAGCGGCTCGTCGGGCACCCCTAGCGTAGCGACAAGAAACTATAATTGAGTTATAACTCACGCATAGGCACCTGTGGTTGTATTGTCGATTGTCATCGAAATAGTTCAGATCCGATCG